AAGAAGAAGAAGAAGAAGAAGAAGAAGAAGAAGAAGAAGAAGAAGAAGAAGAAATATCAGGTGGAAAAATGTGCCTATTCTTCATTTCCTGCTGCCTGTTCATTAATCAACTCCTATTTTTTTCGTCGCAGACTGAAAGCAGTATAGGTTTACAACCAACTAACAGTTAATAACTATTTTTTGCCCTTTTTGCGTAGCGGGCAAATACGTTTATCATATCGCCTCAGACTCTCACACTGAAGTTAATTTGAACAGATCGTGATCTCTGAGGTTTAAAGATTTGAGGTATCATGGACGATGTAGGCCAAGTCATCACCAACATAGTACTCTTAGTTTTTAAAACATTGTTGAAGGGGCAAGAGACAAAATTGGAGATGGGTTGTAGAAAAGCCACAACACGAGGACATTGCGCTGTACCCATAGGACAAAAAACATTCTTCGACACACACACACACACACACACACACACACACACACACACACACACACACACACACACACACACACACACTCACACAGACAAACACACACAGACACGTTCGCGAGTACGTACTCTACTCATGTCAAGTACTTCATGTAATATCACGATTACGTTAATTCAATTCACTCCTAATTTAATGTAACCTTATGGCATAGATCTAGCTTGAAATCTTTTAGCTCGCTGTCAACTGTTACGAACTATTATATTTTCCTTGCAATAAACTTTCTTCAAAGGTGACGGTGTCTTTAAACACTCAAAACTAGCAGGGAAAGAACAATGAACTTAACCTTTCATGTATTTTATTTTCTCTATACTTTCGCGTTTACCCACAATTGAAGCAACGTTGTTCGACAAAATAAATCTCACGAATAAACGACACTCCAGTGGAAGAAGAGGGTATTTTTGACATCCAAAGACAAAAGGAGCGAGGTAATCAACTCACATCGATGAAACTGGCGTTGTAATAATCTGTCGAGAGAGAGACTGGTCTGTCCCACACAATGACGCGGCTGTGGTCATCTGTGGAAGGAAAAGATAGACCGTAATTAAGTCTTTAACGAAATGGGTTGTTTCCATATTTACACAAAATATTCGCTTCCATCAAGGCAAATTATGCTATTTTTGTCCGTGCTCCCACTGATGGCACCAAGTGGGTTGTGGTGGGTGCTCGACTGGAGTGGTTTTTCAATCTCCTTAAAAAAAACATCTGTCGTCCGTATCTCTCCTTCTTCTTTTTGTGTTTGTTACTTTCAATTGTTACGCCTCTAATCTGCCGCACTCACATGACATTTTTGTGTTGCAAATGCCGTAAAACTTTCACTTACAAAAAACTGAGGGCACGATAATGCTTTTGCGTTCGTATAATGACAGGATGAGTCGAATTGATTGACTCGTTAAAAACCAACGTTATTATTTTATTTTTTACTTAGATTTAGTCAGAGTACATGAGATACATTCAGGTAATTTAAGTGTCGAAGATTAGAAGCGTTACTGGTTAGCAATATACAAAGAAAGGGAGGAAGAGAGACATGTAAGAACAATATAATAACATGTTTAATGGGACAGAAGGAGCAAACTATACCAAGGCGCCTACCAATCACACACCTTATTGGTTTTTGGAGTTGTAGAGTTATAGTCGGTAGCGTTGGAAACAGTAGTGGATGGGTTTTGTCGGGATACACATTACAATTAAAGTGAAAGCGAAGAGAGGAAAGTCAAAGCTGATCACGTTAGAGCATCCAAAATAGACTAAGAGCAGCTGAAGATAATATCGTTCCTTCTGGATATGTAGATCATCATCATCATCATCCCCACCACCCACCACAACCATCAGTTTTATTACCATCACCATTATCACCATCGTCATTATTATCATCGATAGCAGTGCAGCAGTAGCTGTAACAATAGCACCGCAACTCCCTGTCTGTCTGTCTGTCTGCCTGTCTGCCTGTCTGTCTGTCTGTCTGTCTGTCTGTCTGTCTGTCTGTCTGTCTGTCTGTCTGAATGTATGTCTGTCTGTCTGTCTGAATGTATGTCTGTCTGTCTGTGTGTCTGTCTGTCTAATCTATCTAATCCATCCGCAAGATATGGAGCCTTTTGGCTGGGCTCTTGTCTTATTATTCTAGGGCTGTTAATAAAAGTAAGAAGGAGCATGAACGTTTACAGTGTCTACTTTCTTCCAATTCGATGTTTCCCTTCTCCGTCGATACTTGTGGTGTTGGCGCCGCCGCCAGTAATTACCTCTGATCGGATCAACGGAAGGCTCTGCTGTCACCGCACACATCGTAAACAACGAGAGGAGACAGTTATGTACTTCTTCATTCGCGCCCACCCCCCACCCCCCACCCCCCCCCCCCACCTCTCCCTTCCTTTCCTTTCCCAATTTCAGCCTTTTACTTCTGATCTGTGAATTCCCTACGTTTCGCGGATGGATGACCCTAATTCGAATGCCCAGCGTGAAGAACTCTCTCGGCTTGCTCCTATCGGGTGTTGACGTGACATTCGGGGGTTGCTCGTCTTTAAGACCTCACAGTATTTTAAAGGACATTAAATCAGTATTCTGTAATGTCGTTTCCATGTTCTCCCTCTCTTCCCCCATCCCTCCCTACTTCCTCTCCTTAGGTCAAAATGTTCGACTGCTCTATCGGAGTAGTTCAATTCAAACAAACAGAGGATAGAAAATAAATATTTCAATACTCGTGTAAATGTTCGAAAAACCCCACCGACACAATTTAGATTATTCAGGAGGCAGATTTCGACCCTGCTTATCATGGAAAACTTGGGCTGAGGGGGATACACCATCTTGGTAAAAAGAAAAGAAAGAAAAACCCCCAAACCCCCGAGATACTCGATAACAATTCTCGTTACTCGTGAACCGAACTCTGGTCTCCTTCGTGCGACGGCAGAGCACCTAACAACTACACCACAGAGACACTGATAAACAGAGAACAGTGTGAAAAATAAGCGGAGGAAAACATCCCACCGATAAGCCTGTGCCTGAGCTGAGACTGATTTATTATTTGTGCCGGCGGTTCCAAGACGTCTTTGGGTTGCCCACATAATGTTCTCCTTTGTCGCTGAGCTATGATCCTGATGGCCCATTAATAATGCAAGAAGCAAACGTTGGGAGACTGAAAGATACCCCTGTCGCTAAGGCGCTTTTTTGAGAGAAGTTTTAGTATAGTAGGAACCATTTACTCAAAGAATTGATTCGGGATACGCTCAAGGATAAAAGTCTACGTCTACATAATTGATGTTGGCATAATGGGTTAGTTATACGGAAGCTAATTAGATAACAGTATTGATAACTCTGTTGTGATTTTAACCTTTTCCTCGAAGAAGCATGATATAGCCTACGTTCAAATATGGCAAAAGACTTCCATGTATGTGATTAACAAGAGTAAGTGATTAACAAGAGCAGCTTTGGCTGTAAACATAGTAATTACACTACCGCTTACAGTCCGCTAAGTAAAAACTATACATTTTAGCGAAACAAAAAGATACAGTGACAAACAAATGTCTTATGTAATTCAAGTCAGCACTAATGGACATTGTCAAGGCTTTACTGTTTCATTTAATGTTGTTACCGTAGAAAGTAGATCCATTACATGAAAATAATATGACACGTAAAAAGATAATAACAGTAACATAATACAGAGACAATCCCTGACAAATGAAAAGTATTGATATTATTGTCCTTTCTGCCACAGGAATTCGAGTTTAAGTCAATTCAATTCATTTGGTTTTTGATAAACTTTGTTTGTTAGCTTGTTTGTTTTGCTTGTTTGCTTGTTTGTTTGTTTTGTTTGAGCGAAGAGAAGCACATTGGCACAGTAACGATCAGTTCGTTGTGGGAAAAAGTAAGACAGACAGGCAGACAGAAACAACACAGGGGGAATAACAAAGTAGGGCCTAGCAGTGGCGCCCTGTCATCCGCAAAAAAATATTTGGTTAGGGATTGTCAACAACAGTTATCCCAACTATTCTGCACCACATTGTAGCTTATCAAGGACGAGGCTGCGCCGCAGAACACGGTGCCTCTACCACAATACGACGATGATGCTATAAATAGCCAGACGGCAAGTAAAAGCTGTAATCAAGAACAGTGACGTCAAACTGTAGCAATCAGATCGAGGCCCATAATGATTTACCTGGTCCGTGGCCCAGCCTCTGGATGTCTATCGTCTACTGAAAATAGCAGAAGCACGGATGTCAACAGACAAGCAAAAATCTGCAGCTCTACCAATCCGGCACGAGGTTTTTGGTTTGTGCGTCTTGGCACCGGATTTCCATAATCCCTTTACCAGACAGTCATTTGGTGACCGCCGTGTTGTCTGATACTTCGTGCAAACTATGGTACCGGGAGCTCGCAGCGTACCAGGCTCGGTTCACGGCTGTTCTCAAGGGTGGGTGGATTCTATTACTCCTTCTTTCAGTTTTTTTTTCTCGGGAGATGAGAAAGGAGGAATGTGATGGGGCCGAGATTTATCACTAGTGTATGAGTCAGTTAGATTACGTGTTCTGTATCACTCCTGGGGGACATTTCTTTGGTCTTCGGAGCAGAAGGACACTTTTAAGCTAATGGGAAAAGCTGACTGGGTGACTTCATTTATTTATTCTTTTCTGACAAACAGCTATTACCACAGCAGTTTCCCCTTCACAACCCCTGCCCCCTTCACGCAATGGACTTGCTAAGAAGGTCAAGGTACATGGGTTAGCAACGGAGCATCGGCTTCATTAATGGACCCTCTCCCTTTCCGTCCACAAACATTTTTTTGAAGACAGCGTGTACATTGGTGGTTTTTTGCTTAATAGCAGGACACGTTAATTCCAACTTAAAAAAGAGGGTGCCGCACCGGGGTGACCAGCAAAGGTTTATCGTATATCAGTCAATATCGTGATATTGTGTAATAAATCATGCAGATAAGACCTTAAATCTAACGTATTGATTCATTGCTTGCCATATTGTTCATATATTAATATTATATTAATATTTTGTGTGTGTGTGTGTGTGTGTGTGT